ATATATGTATTAGTCCCAAGAGACTCCACTTTATCTCTGGCATTACAACAAAAACTTTTTATTCCTGGGCAGTACTGGAGACAGAATCCAGAGCCTGGCACATTCAAGCTAAGTCTCTAACACTGAGGTATAGACCAAGCCCTTTAGTTTACCTTCTAAGTACTTGTCAAAAAAAGTGAACCAAAACTCAGTAAACATGTAAACTTTTTGAAGGAGCTATCCCTCTGGATATGATTCCCTTATACCCTCAGCCTTCATTCAGTGAAATGGGGGAAGGTGGCACAGTCCATAGCTAAGTCCCAGGTAAGCTAATCATTAGTAATCAGAACACAAAAAGAAAAATTGGCTCGAAAGGAAGTCTAAGTCTAATTCACATATTAGAGAAAATGCCAATAACACAGTTACAAGAAAATTGCACAACTGGCACTTCTAGTACAAGATCTTAACATTACAAAGGAGATTAAAAGGACCATTTAATCAGATATGCTAATCTAGACAAAAGATGTGAATCTACCACACTATTTGAAATACAGACTTATACCACTAATATTACCAGTGAATCTTAACCTAAAAGTGTAACAAACTTTAGGATAACTGCTGAAAGCCATAATTTTAATCGTTTAAAAGTAAGCATAAGGAACTATACCGACATTATAAGAGCATAGCAAGTGTAAAGTTGCTAATGAATAAATTTCACTTTCCTCTTACTTCAAATTTCCACTTGTTATATATTCATGCTTGAAAGACTCAGCATTATATATAAAAACACATATTAAAGATAACTGGTTCAAAGTGTTTACTTAAAAAGGTTTAGAAATACCTACATGAGAACTTTTAATCTTTCTTACTTGAATGCTTCTTACATTTGAGTATGTTTAAGCTAATTTGTGAATACTCTCAAAAAATAATTTCCAGAACCAGTATGAAAAATACTAAACTACAAGTGTTACATTCCTTTAAGGAAAGGGAAAGCTTTATATTGCTCATGTCCCAAATTCAGTATGTGTTAGAATGCATCGGACATAGTGGGAACTGTAATATTTGCTTCAAAGAATTTGCTGTTTGAGATTTAATAACCAGGAAATTTACTAATAAAGTGTTAGCTCTGTGATTTATAAAATAATTCAGGGCCGGGGCTATAACTCAATGCCCAACATGATGAAGTATTAGTTTTACTTGACAGAACCAAAACAAAACTAAATTCAGTTTACAACTGAATGTTGATCTATACCCACTTTCCAGTCATGTATCTCATGAATAATGGTTTCTATATTTTAAGTAACACTAAAAAGTTAACTGTTTGCTTTTAGAAATATCTGTATCTCTTACCTTTTTGCCAGATAGTAAATCTTCTCCAAGTAAGTCATCTTCAAGTTCACTGAGAAGAAAAAGGAAGGTCAAAGTATTGTTCCTGTAATACTGGAAGTTTACATGGAAGTTTAACAAAGGCTCTGGAGCTCAGAGACTTTAGGGTGAAATTTGCTATACTTTCCTTTTACTTTATTAATAATGAAATGGTATTTTTAGCCAGGCGTGGTGGAGTATGCCTGTAATCCCAGCACTCGGGAGGCTGAGGCAGGAGGATCGCTGTGAGTTCAAGACCAGCCTGGGCTACATAGTGAGTTCCAGGTCAGTCTCAACTACACAGTGAGACCCTGTCTCAAAAAACAAAAAAACAAAAAAAAAAAAGAAAGAAAAGAAATTGTATTTTTAAATACAGAGAGAATTTTTTTGTAGGTAAGCAAAGACAAGATACAGGAGGTAGCTGACAAAACTTTTTAAGCTGTGCACCTCAGTAGCAGATCTGAATCTCTTTTACTGTTAAAAGAAACTTTTAGAAATAATATACAAGCTTTCCCCTATCTTTAAAAACTTACGATGAAATAGGAAAAGATCTTCAATATTCATCAAGATAAGGGCCAGGGATTTAGCTCAGAGGTTTGGTGGCCTGCCTTGCAAGCACAAAGACCTGAGTTCAATCCCTAGTACCAAAAAAAAAAAAAAAAAAAAAAATTCATCAAGATAAAAACCAGAGAGATCATGAGACACTCATCAAACTGTCAAAAACTAAAAACATTAAAAATGTTTTAACTATAATGAGGTTAAAAATTAAATCACAGTAACTAAGGGAATTATCTTTGTATAGCATGCAAGTCACAGTGGTCACTTGCAATGTTTTTTGGCATATTTCCATTCCAAGTTGACTGGGAGCAAGCTTCCTTCCCCACAATTAAAGCAGGAACCCTTAGCAAATCAAGAAGTCAGTCATTTTCAGTTTTTTTGATGAATGGGAATGGCTACCACTGGGTTATGTCTTTATTTCTGGAGAATCCAACCTTTTAAAAGCAAATATCTTTACAGAATATATAGAAAGAAAAAATACAGTTGGACTGATAATTCTATACACTATGTTCATGGAGATTTAATGACACCAATATCCTTTCTAGAAATGTTACGTTTTAAAATAAAGGATCTAAACTGGGCAAAGTGGTACATGCCTGTAATCCTAGCACTTGGGAGGCTGAGGCAGGAGGACTGCCTCAAATTGCAGACCAGTCTGGGCTACATAGTGAGTTTAAGGCTAGACTAAACTACGAAGCAAAATCCTGTCTCAGAAAGAGAAAGAGGGGGCAGGAGGGAGAGACAGACAGAGACAGACACTCTCTAGTTATAAAATTCTATAGGTTTTGAGAGATCAGCACTGGAACTATTTACTCAAAAAACAGAATACTAGGATTTCTAGAAATGTATATATGGGGCATGGGAAATTAGCTCATTGGTTCTGCTGCCTGTCTCGTAAGTGCGAGGACCCGAGTCTGATCTCCAGTACCAAAAAAACAAAACAAAAAAGTAATGTATAGAGTTATAGAAATGTACAATTCTATATAATAGCTTCTAGAACTACAAACAACCCTTAGCCCTGGGGCTCTTAGCTCAGTGGCACTATAACTGCCTTGCAAGTGCAAGGTCCTGAGTTTGATCCCCAGTACTGCACAAAAAAACAACAAAAAAAAAAACCCAAAAATATCAGTTATTTAAGTCACTGATGAGTCTCTTAGCTATTTTAAATTAACCCTACAATGTCTTATATCCTCATTCTTTTACTTAATGAAAAAACAATTTCATAATAAGAGAACATTTTATAGATGAAATCAGTAACAATACATTAAATAACTTCCCTAAGGCCACATAGCAGAAACAGAGAAAAATAATTCTTCATAAACTAATGCAGGACAACTTTGAGATACAATGCTCCTTCCAATGAAAAAACAATTTCATAATAAGAGAACATTTTATAGATGAAATCAGTAACAATACATTAAATAACTTCCCTAAGGCCACATAGCAGAAACAGAGAAAAATAATTCTTCATAAACTAATGCAGGACAACTTTGAGATACAATGCTCCTTCCAACATTTTTAAACCAGTAAGTATCTATCAGGCACAGTTTTTCTCTCTTCAGTGTTACAATTAATCCTCTAGGAAAGCGTAAAATATGCTGTCTGGTAAGCAACATTTACCATAGCTCTACTTAAGAATATGATTCTAGATGACCCAAAACTTACAAGCACCTCTTCAAAGACAAAGCCTATATTCCATCAAATTAAGCAACTGAAAATGGACAGTAATATCATTTTCCGAGGACACACTAATTATGATGGTAGTAAGACCAAGTGTTAGTAATTACACAAACAAAACACTACCAAATAGCTGTGACTTTCGCTGACAAGAAAAGATACTTGGAATTAAGAAGCTAATCTTTAATACTACCTACTCCTTTTCACAGAAAGGTCTTTGCATAGAAGATAAAATGATACCTACATCAGTTAGAAAATGAGTATAGTGTACAGAAGAAGGAGAAAGTACTTGTTGCCATGACTAAAGAGAAGCAGGATAATCACAAAGGACTAAAACAAGCACAAGTCAGTGTACTAAGTATTGTACAGGGGTGAGCTTTTTAAACAATATCATAATCCCCCCACCCCACACAGAGACAGTTACAGCACCAAGATTTTAAACATGGAAGCCCAGACTCTAAGAAGTTACATGATTTGCCCAGCATCATGCTGGGGCACCAGCAGATGAACTTGGTTTGCCTCCAGGGTCCAAATCTAAGGACCATGTACAACATCCATAGAACCACATACAACTGTCTTGCTGTTATCCTCAAGCTACAATGTCTCAAAAGATGTGCATAGAGAGCAAGAAACTTTTTAAATCTAGAAAACTACCCAAATCTCATCAACTGTTACTAAGAACAAGAAGGTACCTGTAGCGGTGCCTGGCCTGCCCTGGCAGCCTCATAAGAGTAGTGACCAATCACACCTTCTGGTAACAGGGGTCGCTGCTCTAGAAGACAAAGCAAGTCCTGCACTGATAAAGCTGCTGGGGCTGGACTGAAGAGCTCCCTGGTGGCGGTTTCACCCGTGATCACTGCTTGGGTTAACAACCTTGTGAATAGATACTTCTCATCAGAGTAGAGACAACCAGCTCAAGGCCAGCCTGAAATACATAGTAAAACTCTGTCTCAAAAAAAAAAAAAAATTACAATAATAAACATTTTAAAGTCTAGCAAAATACTGAGCAGGGTGTAAAGCAAAACGGACTCTGCTACCTGACTACTCTAGCAAAGGTTCTGGGTGTCTACAGTCAATACAATCAGTGCCAGCACTACATAAAGACACAGAGAAACATGGAAAGCCTCTTTTCTGTATAGCCCTGCATACAGTCCAGGCATGGAACAGGGCTCACTGTTCCTTCCACCTAGAGAGTCCTCACCTGAGCCCAAGAGGGAGCTCCACTCGGGGCAGGGCATCAGGAAGCCAGCAGTTCCCAGTAAGATTACTACAAGGCCAAGTGACAGATTCATCAAAGCACAGACTCCCAGATGAAGCACAGGTGTACACATACCTGTCCCAGTCTTCATCTGCAGCTCTTCTTCTCCAGGACCGCTCTGCACCAGGCTTATCAAACTGATCAAAGTCATCATCTGTGAGGAAGAGTCCACAAAACAGTCAGCTGCTTAAGAAACCTGTTTATGAACTTAGTGAAATAAATAAGTCACACATGTACAAATACCAAATAGTTTCTCTGGTGTGAAAAACTACAATGATACATAAAATCCTAATGGTGTAATGACAATATGAAATAGGAAGAAAAGGGCTAAAGGTGTAGGGGAAGTGGGAAGAGTAGGAGGAAGGAAATAAGGGAAAAGAAAAAAAAACATGAGAAAATGAAAAAATGGAAATAAAGTATCTGTAAATAGGGAAGGGAGAAGGGGGTGATAGAAGGGCAGGGGTAAGGGGAAAAAATGAGAACCAAGACCTGTCATGTAAAGGTACAAGAACCCAATGATGACTGTAACTGTACTATATACCTAAAGTACCAATAAACTCAATGAAAAAAAAAAAAAAAGAAAAAGAAAAAGAAAAAGAAACCTGTTTATGGATTCCTAGCCTGACACCCCAAGTTCCAAATGCAACTATCATAAATGCTTTAGGCATTTAAAATAATTAAAATGTTTAAAAATACCAAGCTACCCCAAGAAAAATAAATTTATTAAATATTATTAGACATGAAAAAAAGCACTAACAGAATTTTTTTAAACCATAACTTAAAAAGGAGTTCTGAGTGCTTATTTTTTACTGCACGAAAGAAAAACGCTAAGTTGCTAGAAGTTAAAAAGACTTTGAGAATACTTCTTGTAATATTCACATTTTTCCAAATTACAGAAAGAAGCAAAGACTCTAAGAAAAGTAGAGATAATATAGAGAAGTGCTGAGCACAGAAACAATACAAGTCAGTGTCACAATTTTAAGTTTTCTAGTAGCCACATTTGAAAAAGTAAAAAGAAGTGACTTATAACAGGTAAAATTTAAACTATATTTTATTCAACCCACTATATCTAACAACATCAACACAGAAAATAGTGACAGGATATTTAACATGTTACATATTCCCATATTTTGGACACGTAACACATTTCACATTCAACGTGGGTAAACCATACTTCAAGTGCCTTACAGCTATGTGTGACTATGTGTGACCAATGAAGTGGTCAATCAAGAGAAGTGATTTAAGAGTAGAACCCTTCAGGTTCTTCCCATAAATTTTTTCTCAAAAATTTGTTAGAGGATCAAATGTGATTATTTTAAATGCAAGGACTGACAGACTAGAAGATCTTCATGATACAGAGGTTTGTATTGTTTTTTTTAATTACAGTGAAACTCAAAGAACTGATATTAATATTTTCATCCTAGACACAAGTGAGAGCAAAGGCTTGGAGGTGAAGCGGGAGGATTAGGAGTTCAAAGCCAACCTGGGCAATTTAGTGAGATCCTGTTTCAAAAGTAAAAAGGTCTGAGGATACACACAGTGGAAGAATGTTGACTACAATCACCAACATATGAGTAAAGAGACAAAAATTATTAATAAGAACCAAATTCTCTAACTGAAAAATAAATGAACTCACCAAAGGGACAAAGAATAGATTTATGTTGGCAGAACTGAAAGGGAAAAAGAAAAAAAAAAAAGAACATAGCCTCAGAAAAATATGGGCACACCGACATACGTGGAAACGGTACTAGAAACAGAAAACAGAAAGAGTATCTGAAGAAATAATGGCTGAAAATTTTCAAAATTTTTAAGAAAATATTGATACCTATAAAGCAGCAGTGCAGTTAACCTTGCCCTGAAGTTACCATCTGGGGCTTAACCAAGAACAAGGTGGAATGATTAGGCCTGAAATGCAGTGAAAAACAACTTTTTTTTTTTTTTTTTTTTTTTTTTTGGGTACTGGGATCAAACTCAGGTCCTTGTGCTTGCCAGACAGGCAGCAGAACCACTGAGCGAAATCCTCAGCCCAAAAGAATTTTGAAAAAAAACAGCCTAATCCTAACCCTACCCCTAGACACACCAACTTTAGACTGAGCCAGAGAAACACAGCAGGACTAGACACAGTGAAAAACAACTTGTTTGTGCAAGGAAACCACCACCAGATATAGGACACACCAAAATCACTGTACTTACCAAATCAACGCAGAGACACACAGACACACATAAGGAGAAACACTTCGGACTACAGCACAACACACAACTTGTCACTTCTTCACAAACCACTCCAGTGACCTTGGCACGGCCTCTGCCCAGGATCATTAGGCCATGAACTCCCAAAAGTCCTCAGACTCAGCTTAGCACAATCCTCCCTGCAGTTCACACTGTCCCTTTGTGACACTGTCCATTTCCTTACCCTCAGCATCTTTGTACCCAATAAACTAACCCAACTCCAGAACTCCCACATTTACTGCACTGACACTGAGTCTGCACAGCTCTTAAGACAGCCTCACTGCACTGAATGTTTTGAGTGTGTGTTTGTTTTCGTGGTGCTGGGGAGCAATCCTAGGTCCTCATAAATGCTAAGCAGGCTCTCTACCACTGAGCTACATCCCCAGCCTTGCACTGAGTCTTCAACTCCTATAGTCTTTTCTCTTTCCCAACTTTCTATAACTTAGTACAATGAAGCATAATGTGGTTTATAAGCATTAGATATTAGGAGTTAATGAACACCCAACTTAAAATTGCCACAGTCACAACTCCCAGTGAAATGAGGAGTACATGAAGTGAAAGCTAATAAAACTAATGGAATTTATGAATCTACTAACATTCAATAAATTCTGATACTGCAAGATACAAGCATGACGGTCTATGTTACTGCCATAACACGCACAACATTATACATCCAGAAAGCTTCTATAAATTCAAAAGAGAATATTGCACTCACAACACAGTCAAAATGTTCCAAAGGCAGCTGGGTGCAATGACGCACACCTGTCAGCTCTGAGGGAGAATGAGGTAAGAGGATCACAAGTTCTCATCTTGCCTGGCCGGCCAACTTACCGTCTTAAAGTAAGTAATAAAAAGGGATAGAGATATAGTTCAGTGTGAAGGCTGTGGGTTCAATCCCCAATAACACCAAAAAAATAAAAAGTTTCAAAAGAAAGGACAAAATTTGAAAGAGAAAAATGACTCATCACTTACACGGAAATGCAATAATAGTTGATTCTCATCAGAACAATGTCAGCCAGGGCAGTAGGATAACATATTCATAGAGCTAAAAAAAGAATCTTAAATCCAGCAAAACTATCTTGCAGGAAATAACATAAAATTTACAGATATATGGAAACTAACACACAAAAATCAACCAACAAATCAAAGTACTTACTATGGAGATAAGAAAATGTGTTTGAAATGAAAAGCCATGAAAGCACAACATACTGAAATTTACAGATCCAGGGAAATCAGTACTAAGGGAGAAATTTATGGCTAAAAATGCCTACATTAACAAAGAAAGATCTCAACCACCTACTTTATCCCTTGAGGAACTATAAAAAGTAGAGCAAAATATATCAAAACTAGCAGAAGAAAGAAAACAATGACAGCAGGTACAATGAAACAGGCTAGAAAAATACTTCCAAATTATATTATTTGAGGCCAGCTTAAATCTAAATAAAGACATTATAAAGGAAAAAAATCTATAGACTATATCGCTTGTAAGTTCTTTTTAAAAAATGCTGCATCCTGGGCCAGAGATTTAGCTCAGTGTTTCTGCTGCCTGCCTAGCAAGTACAAGGACCCAAGTTTGATCCCCAGTACCAAAAAAAAAAAAAAAAA